ACAAATTCTTTCTTCCTGTACTATGTCCCTATACATATGTAGTCTTTTATTAGGTATAGCTAACATTGAGATAACTGCTTCTATGAATTTGTATTCACCTTGTTGTACTGATGAGTGATGGCAATTTGGTAGTCCTATGTTGTAGATAACTAGAGGAAATCTATTTCTGTATTGGTAAAAAAAGGACCAGAAAGTCAAAAATTCAGCTGAACCATGGTTGGCAGCTGTTATGATAAGATCCAATGATACGAACGTTGATAAATATAAGTATCATCCAAATCTTGAGGAAAAAATGGAGTTAAAGAAGACAAGATTACGATAAAGTAGGAGTAAAGTATTCATTAATTTTTATGGATGAAATATTAGTCTATTGAGCTTAACATACAATAATTAACCCAGATAAATAAATAAATAAGAAACAAAACAAAGATTGAAATTAAATCCTAAACTCATAAAACCTTACTTTTTCACGATATTCTTCTTGTGTTATCACATCAACAATATTAACTCGACCAAGAAGACAACTTGTAGGATATGATGTTGGCATATCTGATTTGGGGACACCTGTAGTTAATAATAGTAATAAAAATACAATTTTGGAATATTTGAGCAATATCGTGAAATTAAAATCTGTGATTTCATGATTCTGCATTATACAATTATAGTATAAAACAAAATAATGTACATAGATGACTAATTACATCAGATGCTGAAAGTTTAAATGAAATTGAAACCATGAGCTTAAATGTTAAAGAAAAAAGAGCTTTAGTTACTGTCGTTTAAAAATGAGATCACTTGAAACAAGAAGATATTATCAGTAAAAATAAAGGTCTCTTTAGGCGAATTATTTTTCGAACTGTATAAGAGGGAAATAATAGATCTAAGGCTTTAAAGAATATCAGTGACAAGTTTAGAACGGCGCCTTTACAGTGAGGCATTATCTCCACCATGGGAAATAACACTGACTGAACTTGAATGAAACATCCAAGTCTTTGTCAAGATTAACAAAGAGATCCAACGTTTTAGAGTGAAGACACATCAATTCAGGTGAGTGACATTTTCAAATTGTTTTTCTATATCAGACTAAACGTTAAACTTATTTGAATGCTGTACATAAGTATCTATTCGACACTAATGCTAGAAGACGGGGATAATGATTGCAGTTGAAAGAAACTCAAGTAGTATATGAATCCAAATGAGTTAACAAAGAATTACCATTTATGATAATGATTTACGAGGCTTAAGTTATTAGTATTTAAATTCACTTTAAATTACTCCAATACATTCATTAACCCTGTGTCATATTAATGAAACGCCAGTTATCACGTTTAGTTTCAGTTTATTCGGAACTACAATGATCACACATAGTCATAAAAAATAAATTGTTGAAAATACAGAAAATGTATACTATCTCACATATAATGAATTCTAATCTGAGTGAAACTCCGTCTATAGCTATTCTAGGGTTACTACCGGTTCCAAGACAGCGTGAAGAAGGAAGGTTGGATGTAGGGTCAGCAACCCCATCCCTTAGAGAACAACACTGCTAAAAAAACGCTAACTAGAAAGGAAAATTTAAACGATTCAAACTCTGCTCACCGAATTCAAGGGTCTTCATTCAGAAGAAATATGACGCCTAACGAAGGAAGCCGAGATTCTTCGAAAGTTATGAAGCCAACACCCCTTCTAACAACCAGATACATGAACTGTACAGACAATGTGGAAGACCAGGACGACTAATCAAGTAGCTACGAAAATGAGGAGATACAACTTGACAGTGCTCGGAATCAGCAAAATCCATTGGACCCAAGTTGAACAGTAAAGGTTAGGTACGGGAGAGATGCCACTGTACTCCGATCACAAAGACGGAAATTCTCCACACACTCAGGGAGTTGCTCTGGTGCTGTCCAAACATACACAAATACACTTATAGGATGGGAATCTCATGGATCCAGGATCATCAAAGTATACTTCAAAACAAACAAGGAGGGAATCACAATGAATTTTATTCAATGTTACGCACCCACCAAAAATAGCAAAGACGACGATAAAGATCAGTTCTACAAGAGTCTGCAATCGATCATAGCGAAATACTCAGGGAAGGACCTGACAATCCTGATGGGAGACAGCGGAAAAGCTGCAATAGAAGGAAATGTGAGACAACTAAATGAGACGACGAAGAAACTGGCAGGGAAATATAGTAAAACGGAGAGACCGGTGAAGGACAAAGAAGGCAAGCCAATCACTGAGATTGGAGAGAAGAGTAGCAGATGGATGGAACACTTTGAGGAACTCCTGAATAGATCAGCTCCATTGAATCTACCGGATATCGAAGCAACACACAAGGAATTCCTATGGACGTCACTACACCAACGATCGAAGAAATCAAGATGGCCATCAGACAAATCAAGAGTGGGAAAGCAGCAGGACCTGATAGTATACCAGACGAAGCACTGAAGCCTGATTTAGAAGTAACTGAGAGTATGCTTCACCCTCTATTCAGGAAGATTTGGAAGGAAGAACAAGTGCCGATGGACTGGAAAGAAGGACACCTCATCAAGATACCAAGGAAAGGAGATCTGAGCAAATGTAAGTACTATAGAGGCATCACACTACTGTCACTACCCGCAAAGATTTTCAACGGTGTTGTTGAACCAGTTGAAAGACTCAGTAGACGTCCAACTTCGAGATCAACAGGTCAGATTCCGTAAGTACCGGTCGTGCACAGACCAAATCACGACACTACGGATCATCACTGAACAATCAATTGGATGGAACTCGTCACCATACATCACCTTCCTTGACAGTGAGAGAGTATTCGATAGTGTGGATAGGAGAACATTATGGAAACTCCTTCAGCATTAAGGAGTACCTCAGAAAATCGCCAATATCATACGGAATTTATACGACGGACTACAAGGCAAAGTCGTGCATGGAGGAGAGCTGACAGACACATTCCGAATGAGGACCTGAGTCAGACAAAGCTGCCTACTCTCCCTCTTTCTCTTTCTTCCGGTGATTGAATGGATTATGAAGACCTCAACATCTGACAGGAAGCAAGGAATACAATGGAAAGCTCTCAATCAACTAGACGATTTGGACTTCTCAGATGACCTGGCCCCTCTATCTCATGCACACTAACGAATGCACATGAAGACAGCCAGTGTAGCATCAGCCTCTGCAGCAGTAGGTCTCAACATACACAAGGAAAAAGGCAAGATCCTCAAATACAACACGGAAAACACCAACTCCATCACACTTGATGGAGGAGCTCTGGAGAAGGGGGAAACTTTCACGTACCTGGACTGCATCATCGGTGAACAAGGAGAATCTGATGCATATGTAAAGGCGAGGATTGGCAAAGCAAGGACCGCATTCCTACAATCGAAGAAAATGTGGAACTCAAAACAACTGTCTGCAAGTCAACATCAAAGTGAGAATCCTCAATATGAAGTACAAGTATTTATAAACAATTGTCTACGCAAGATACTCAATGTCCGTTGGTCAGATACCATCGACAACAGTCTACTATGGGAGAGAACAAACCAGCTTCCCGTTGGAGAGGAAATTAGGAAGAAACGCTGGAAGTGGATAGGACAGACATTGAGGAAATCACCAAACTGCATCACGAAGCAAGCGCTATCTTAGGATCTTGAAGGGAAATGAAAAAGAGGAAGACCTGAGAACACATTGTGTTGGGAATCGGAGACAGTCATGAATAGGATGAATAGCAACCGGAAAGGAATGCCCAGGACGGAATTGGATGGATAATGTTGTGCTACTCTACAAGGCGTAACATGCATCTGTGAGCAAGTGACTAATGTCAATAATTTGCCGAGACTTTCTGTGTCGTTGGTATTATCGTTTGCAGATGCTTTGAAGAACGATAAGCAGTTTGGCTAATTATCTGGATCTGCAAGCTGATGTATGTAAATTAGTTAGATGGTCAAGTTTGTGCTAATGAATATCAAACACGGCAGTAGTTAAACGCTGTGGACACACCTTTTACTCCTTAAGAGTAGTCAAATGTTGAAATTCACTGAAGGTTGAGCTAGTCCAAGTTACTTTCCAGTAGTCCATCGACGGAAAACTGGACATATTCTTAAGGACTAAGGACAGTACCTGACTATAATTTACTAGACTTTTTCGTCTTATCGTCATATATAGGTATTTTTATACGTGAAGGCATCGGTGATGCACTGCTACTATATACGGAAGCCTGTTTAGCGAAAGCTTCTATTCCGTCTACAACTATTTGAAACCAGTATACTACCAACGGCACACCGCCTTCACGGATGCAGGAATAAAAAGACTTTGAAGTAACAGCAAGTTACGACCTGAAAACAACTTCGCATTGCAACACGGCAGCTTTCAAAGGTCTTTGAGCGTTATGATCACTTCACCAAGTATACAAACTCCCTTACAATGAGCGTTTAAAACGCCATCACGCTTTCCTTATGTCGTATCGTGGAACGCCAGGTGACTTTATATTAGCATTTCATATTTCTGATAATGATTTGAGTGGTAATGTCTCATATTTTTCCTCTCTTCAGAAATACTTATATCCGAGGCCATCGCAAGGAGGTTTAAAAACAATGATCGAATAAACTCAGAGTAGGGCTCCGTTTTTCTCAACGAGTGGTCATTAACGGGAACGCTTCACATGAACAAGCGAACGCTTTCAAAGATAAGCTGGATCTTTAATGGAAAGCAAGCTTCGGGGATTAACAGAAGTCTACCGACCTACTATCCTCATTACAGAAGACTTAACACTAGCCTCAGATAAAGGCTAAGTGAAAATCGAAACTGGGAGCAGATAGTTTGACCCATTACAAACATAGCTTGTTAAACTTTTGATATTTCATAATAAAAAATTTGAGATTTCACTCTTGTTTTTCCCTATTGAACGTACGTCTCCGTTTTCCGAAGTTAGTGCGGTTTGTAAGGCGCCTTTTGCGACTCTGTAACGTTGTGGCGGCTTCGTTGGATTTGGAATTGTAATGTCTGAGAAAGCCAGTTGTGAATATGGTACACCGAAGTATTACGCGCTTTGTGGTCTCGGTGGAGTTCTAAGCTGTGGTCTCACACACACTGGAGTGGTTCCATTGGATTTGGTTAAGTGTCGTTTGCAAGTTGACCGAGCTAAATATAAAAATATTACTCATGGATTTAAAACCACCGTTGCTGAAGAAGGCATACGAGGCCTAGGAAAGGGTTGGGCACCAACGTTTTTTGGCTACTCTCTCCAAGGACTGGGAAAGTTTGGGTTTTATGAAGTATTTAAACACATATACAACGGCTTCCTGTCTGAAGTAAGTTACTCAATATTCTACGTATGATTTCTTATCCAGGAAAACGCGTATTTATGGAGAACATCAGTGTACCTGGCGGCCAGCGCCAGTGCAGAGTTTTTTGCTGACATTATGCTTTGTCCCATGGAAGCTGTGAAAGTACGAATACAAACAATGCCAGGTTGGGCTAGCACGCTCAGAGAGGGTGTACCGAAAATGTACAGAAATGAGGGCCTCGTTGGATTCTACAAGGGTCTTCCTCCGCTATGGGGGCGACAAATTCCGTACACGATGATGAAGTTCGCCTGCTTCGAACGCACCGTCGAAGCACTGTATAAGTATGTTGTACCAAAACCACGCGAACAATGTTCGAAAAGCGAACAATTAGTTGTAACTTTTGCAGCTGGTTACATCGGTATGTTTAGTTTGTAAATTACTTATTTCCATAGCGGGTGTATTTTGCGCTATTGTATCCCATCCTCCTGACACAATAGTGTCGAAATTAAATAAAGATCCAAATGCACGCCTGGTGGAAGTTGCCAAAAATTTGGGGCTAATGGGTAAGTCATCGACAGAGCTTTGAACTTTCCTTTTGTTATTTAGTAAACGCAGTTGATTTAATTTACTGACGATCAGTATGGTTGAAAGGGTTACGTTTTAAATCATCATACGTGCTATATCTTCCAAAGAATTGTGTCTGTAGAGTGTATCGTAAATAGTTAGTATGTCTGGTGGTTACCTTCACATAGAAGTGGCTAAGAAAGTCCAGCGCCTAATCTTTTTTATCCATGAAGTTTCAAAGTAGGCAGTATGGTTTCTTAATCCGAGGTTCGACAGTAGAACAAAACCAATATACTTGCTGGAGTTCCGCTCACAGAAAAGGCGACGTTGTGCAAATATTTACGGAGAGGCTATATGTAATGGCTAGTTTTCATTTAAACTCAATGATCGTTCTTCTAGGTCGATAACACCACTGATAGACGATTTTCAAGACCTCAAAAAGGTACTCGTCTAAAAATCAACACTTCAGTCCTATTCGCCACCGATTCTCATCGTTCGCTTGGTTTTCACTATATAACTTCCTCATTGGCTCTGGAACAAGCGTATTATTACCGTATCCTGGCCTTGTGTCAATCAGGACAGCACTTCATTAGCTAAATGCTTAATATTTGAGAAGCTTGTCCCATACTTCTTAACCCCATTTACAGAGTTCAAGTGCGGTCTTTCTTCAGACTCCAATCCTCACACTCTACCTACAAAATATCTAATGATCGTAATCTAACAAAGTAGCCTGAAAGTTATGATGTGAATCTCTGAACCAATTTCTTGTCGTTTGTTTACTGTTTGAATAAATAACTTAAGAATTCGGACCTGTCAAGATCGATACTTTCGCCTTCCTTGTTTCCTTTATGCTTTTTCACTGGAAGTTGGGCATTAACCAAAAGAGGATGTGAATAAAACCTGGTCACAGTGATCCAGATATTATTTATCTATGGGTCTTCAACAATGTGTAATTGGATACTTTTGATCTTTCGATTCCTCATCTTTTCCTTAGGCTTGTTTTTCATTTACCTTTCATTACTCTAGTTATCGCTATCAGGATCACTACCTTGACTTCTTTTTAGTCTGTTTACCCGTGCGACAACTATGGATAATGCAAACTAGTGTGTGGTCCTATTCTGTAAGAATATCAAGAATTGGTGATAGATGCTCTGCTCAGAAGAAATTTTTATGAGTGGCACCACTTTACTTTTTAAGACTAATTTCTGGTTCAAGTTGATTTCATCTTACGGGGGTATTCTACGAAAATAGCACCACTGAATCAACTTTGCATTTTTTCGTATTCCGGTTAGCCAATTCTAGTTGTGCCGTTTCACAACTTCAAAATGTTGCACAAGCAAATGTATCTCAGTTATATAAATATTGCTAAAACATCATTAACACAAAATAACAGTTTGAAAATAAGCAGTATAAAATGCTTCTTAACTTCAGTCACTTGTTACATGACCATTTCTAAACAGATGTGAGTTGGTACTTAGTTCATAACAAGCTCATAAAGCAATGTCCAAAAAGTAATAAAATCTATTACTTGTAGGGTAAACGCTCCTTTTCCAAAATATCTTACTTCAGCATTATTTGACCAAATAACAACTAGACAACGTAAACATAATTCAAAGTATAAATTAGGATCCCAATCCTCCCTATTTCACACTTGTGAGCCAATATATGTGATATGCCTCTTCTATTTTGATGAATAATCACGTAGGTAATAATAAAATCAGACCATGAATTGGACATCAATAAAGCATACCAACAATATCAAATGAACTAACCAGAAGGTATCATTCATCAAACTAAGCTAAGTAGGGTCTGAGTAACATAAATAAGTCCTAAGGGTACTCAGTCCAAAATATAATACTGACTTAATATATTTTAGTCATTTAAAAAGTGCGTTGTTCTTCTGCCCATAACTCATTGATTTGAGAATAGATTTAATTTATAAATCAGTCACATAGATACTAATTCATTCTCACAAACATTTGTACTTAATCAACTTTCTTAATATTTGATTATATGGTCGTGTAAGTCTATTTTTCCCGTCAGTAATAAGTACATTAACTCGAAGTAGCATACATTAATGCTGATTGCGCCAAGTAAGTCACTGTGCGCAAAACGAAACTTTCTTTCCAAGCAGTTTCTGCCTGGAAATAGGAACCTGTCAGTGAAGAGACCGTCTACCGACACATCATTGTGTAAGTGGCATTACTTTTATTTATTTAGGCACACATCGGTACAGAGAGGCATCAAATACATATTCGCCACATGTACAATTCGATATGTGTGAGGGCTGGAGTACTGCCAGGATGCCTGAGCCGAATCAGCTAATTTTCTTAGGTGGCCATTCGAGCCTTTGACCTACAGGTCTAATCCACAACGCAGTGGAGCAACGTTAGGAGATGCAGTTTCATGGTAGTCGGTGACCAACAATAGGCTCACACGGCATTTGATTCCTCAGTGCACCATTGTGCAGTGCCCATGTGCACCATTGGTTTGGATTCGGAGTTTTCCAACTCTCCTAGGTGGGTCCACTGACCCGGTTAAAGCGACGGACATTCACTTTTTGTCCTCTCAATTTCGTAAACAACATCGCCGCGAGCAGGCAGCATGTCTTCCCTGACAGTGACTGTATACACGTGGCCGTGTAAGAGTATTTTGAGAGTGCTGACTACCCACCTTCGGCCATATTAAGGCATTTGAAGGCCCTGGTACGGCCGAGAGTGGGGAGAGTCTACTCTCCCTCTCGAAATGCTCTCACATGGCCAGCGAATATATAGCTTCTGCCAGGGAAGTCCTACTCACTGCCTTCTCGTGGCGGGGGTGTTGTTTACGAAAGTGAGAGGACGAAAAGCGAATATCCGGCGCTATAACCGGATTGGTGGACACGGAGGGTCCACCTAGGGGAGTTGGAAAACCCTGATTCCAAACCAATGGTGCACATGAGCTCCAGTATCCTGATGGAACGAATGGCGGAAGAATCTGTCATTGGTCAACGGCTACCATGGGACTGCATCTCCTCACGATGCTCCACTGCCATGTGGATCAGACCTTTAGGTCAAATGCTCGGGGTGTGGTCCCCTAAGAAAACCACCTGCTTCGGTTTGGGCACCCGGGCAGTATCACAGCCCACACACAAATGAATGAAATGATGAACTCTATTGACGATAATATCCCTGCTCATACTAAAAGCAAGACAATTTTCATTATTATTATTACCTTTATTATTATTATTATTATTATTATTATTATTATTATTATTATTATTATTATTATTATTTACCATATCGCTAACTCACCCCCTTTTATCCCCAATTTGTGTAACCCTACTTTTCAACTTATGCAGCAGCTCGCCCATGGTGGAAACTCTGTCCTATCTAAACGATCTCCAGTCACTATCTGGTTGAAAGTGAATGCTTCCACCGATAATGAATACTGAAGCAGTCTTTCTGAAACCACGTACGCCGTTCAAGCTGGCTTCCTTCAACGTTCGCACACTAATGCATATCAGACAACAGATAGGGCTGGCTATGTCTTTGGGAGGTCTTAATGTTGATGTTTGTTGTCTATCCGAGACCCGTATTCAAGACTCTAGTGAAGTACTACAAATCCGCTCTCCATCTGTCGCCTCGAAAAGCTTGTTCCACGTGCGCTTATCCGGGGACCCTGTGGCATCTTCGTCTGGTCTTGCTGGCGTTGGTGTCGCACTAAGCGCTAGGGCTGAGGCAGCACTAATCGATTGGATCCCCATTAACAGTCGGTTATGTGCTGTTAGATTAGAAAGTTCCATCAAAGTGAGAAGAAACCGACGCGAGAAACGGTGTCTCCGCCTATGCCCCGACAGATTGCAGCCCGGATGCAATCAAGGATGAGTTTTACCATCAGTTAACAGTTCTCCAGAAAGCGTGTTCGACAGATATTGTAGTACTAGCCGGAGACTTGAATGCACAGGTCGGGCGTCTAGGCACAGAAGAGAGTCGTTTAGGTGGCCGATGGGGACTTGTTGGTCGCAGGACAGATAACGGGGACCGTTTGCTGCAACTGTGCACAGACTACAACCTGTTTCTGGCCACCAACGGATTGATATTAGTAAACTGGCTGCAACGTCTGTTGCAAGTAAGTATCGAGCGGAGCTAGCCTCTAGGCTAGCTACTACCCCACCGAAAAGTATAGATGAGCATTGGTTGCATGTTCACGACGCCATGAAAATGGCGAGTAAAGCCGCTTGCGGCTTCGCGAAACGTCCCGCTTACAAGCACTGGGTTTCTTCTGGCTCCTTACAACTGATGGAAGCCCGTCGGTCTACTCCGGGTGACCGTGAGTTTGACCACAAACGAAGGCTGTTACGTAATGAAATCGGGCAAAGCTTGCGTAAGGACCGGGAAGCCTGGTGGTCGGAGCGTGCTAATGAGATGGAAGCAGCAGCTGCATCTGGTAACTGCCGGAAGCTCTTCCAACTCATCCGAGCCACTGGCAGCAAGAAGTCTGGTGTGAGTGAAAGTGTTCCAACATCTTGGAATGAGTCGATAGTCGTCCCTATCTTTGAAAAGGGTTCACGTTTTTCCTGCAATAACTATCGGGGGATAAGTCTTCTTCCGATTGCGTCCAATCTATTGGCTTCTATCATTCTTCGTAGGTTGTTTAAAACCCGAGAACGAATGACTCGCGAGGAGCAGGCTGGTTTTCGTTCTGGTCGAGGATGCATTGATCACATCTTCACCCTCCGCCAAATGTTAGAACACCGTCATACTTATCGCAGGCCAACAATCGTAGTGTTTCTTGATATCAGGGCGGCCTTCGATTCGTTGGACAGGACTGTTCTCTGGGATTGTCTATTGAAGAAGGGTGTGCATGAGAAGTTCATTAACATCTTGAAGGCCCTGTATACGAACACCTCAGGCAGAGTGATGGCATACAACCACCTTTCTCCCTTGTTCCATTCGAGCAGTGGGGTTAGGCAGGGTTGCCCGATCTCACCATTCCTCTTCAACTTTGCCATCGACGACATCCTGGAAACAGCTCTGATGGATGTAAGTAATGACGGTGTGGATATGTTGCCTGGAGAACGACTTCTCGACCTTGAGTATGCGGATGATATTGTCTTACTGTGCGATAATGCCCAAGGCATGCAATCAGCACTTAATCAGTTGGCAATCAGTGTCCGCAGGTACGGCATGTGCTTTGCACCCTCAAAGTGCAAAGTACTCCTACAAGACTGGCAGGATTCTCATCCTGTACTCACCCTGGATGGTGAGGAGATCGAAGTAGTTGAGAAGTTCATGTATCTAGGTAGCTATATAAGTGCTGGTGGTGGCGTGAGTGATGAGATTGATGCACGTATAATGAAAGTCAGAGCGGCTTATGCCAATCTGGGCCATCTTTGGCGCCTTCGTGATGTTAGTCTGGCTGTAAAAGGTCGGATCTACAACGCGTTGGTGAGAGCAGTTTTGCTCTATGCTCGTGAAACCTGGCCTCTCCGAGTTGAGGATGTGTTAGACGACTCTCTGTGTTCGATCATCGTTGTCTCCGAAGGATTGCTGACATTCAGTGGCAACACCATGTTAGTAATGCAGAGGTTCGGCATCGTGTGTTCGGGCGCAGAGACGATAATTCAATTGGTGTCGCCATCTTGAAACACCGACTTCGGTGGCTTGGACATGTTTTACGAATGTCGTCCCAGAGACTTCCACGTCGTGCATTATTTGCCGACTCTGGGACTGGTTGGAAAAAGCGGAGAGGAGGTCAGTGTATGACATGGTGTCTTGGTATGAAAGAAAGCTGCAAAGGGCTAGCTTCCGTTGGTCCTTCACGACTCCCTGGTTGGGGTCCGAGAGATGGTGCAACACAGTGGCTAGAGACGTTATCAGATATGGCTCAGAATAGAAGCCAGTGGCGATTCTGCTGCAACCTTCTTTTACTTTCTACATAAAGAATGGTTCTAACTTTCTTAACTGAAAGAGTCTTCTGGTTGTACATTTCAGTCCGCCTTATCTTTTCCTACTTTCATTATTTTGTGTGGCGCATATGTACCTGGTGTCCTTTTGTACCAATATATATATGTTTAAATAAATAATAAATAAATTTGAAGGCTTTACTAAGCTAGTTATCACAAAACTTTTCTGATCGCGCACTCCTTAAAGTGTAACCGGAATGCTGGTTGCGCCGAGTCACTGTGCGCAAAATGAAACATTCTTCCCAAGTAGTTCCTGCTTGGAAAGAACCTGCCGGTAAACGGACTGTCTACCGGCACATCATTGTCAAGGTGGCATTGTTAAGCTAGTTGTCACAAAAATTTTCTGATCGCGCACTCCTTAAAGTGTAACCGGAATGCTGGTTGCGCCGAGTCACTGTGCGCAAAATGAAACATTCTTCCCAAGTAGTTTCTGCTTGGAAAGAACCTGCCGGTAAACGGACTGTCTACCGGCACATCATTGTCAAGGTGGCATTGTTAAGCTAGTTATCATAAAACTTTTCTGATCGTGCACTCCTTAAAGTGTAATCGGAATGCTGTGTATTATTTACACCATATGGAGATGAAATTATCAAGTTAAGTACAAAGGCAGTAGTGACATCTGTGGTTACAAAAATTGATTAGTCACGAAATAAATCTGTCAATTAAAACTTTAAAAGTAATCTATCCAGTGTTAAACAAGATGAACGCGCCTGTGTCACTGCGATTTATTTTGGGTCACTTCAAACAGTCTCCAACTACTGTTTATCATCTCACTGACTCCAACTTGATAGTATTCACTTACTAACATTGTTCAGTCCACCAGCCACTGACTTCATAAACCAATGCCACGTTTCGGTCTGACTCTTCTTATCCTTCTACTAACCTATTCTTGCAGCATCTAACACTGGGTTTTAAGGGTTTTTTTCATATGCGTAATACATATTTCAGCCACTTCAGTTAAAGAAAAACAATCTAATCAACTAACTTGCCATGTTCGCCTGAACCCCTGATTCTAACCTCAGCATTGTTCACTCAGTGGTCTCATCAACGTTCCCAATGCACTTAAAACGCGTATGGTCGTTGGTACTCAGATCTGTTAAACACTAAAAGGAGTTCATTATCACACTATATTGAGTCTATAAGTTGGTTTACCTTTAAGAATATTGCCACCAAACTAAAGTCTGTACAAAACCATTTTAAGCACTGAAAGCTTGATTACGGCACTTAGTTTCTCAAATATATGATCGATAGCACTGCGGTAAAAATGCATAGAAAATGGGTCTGCTTACCAATCAGTATGTAAGGCAAAGAATAAACGGTATCACGAATATCAATTAAACTTATAGCAGTAAGTCACCAGACCCTATCAATTGTAAACTACTACCTTGACTAAAGAGGAAGCCACATATAATTTCAAAGAAAGTCAATGTCGTTTGTGAGGTGATTTGCTTAGTTGAATTGTTTGTTAACGACCATAGATGATTATCATGTCCTGTTTTCACGGATCCTACTGCTGAATAACAAGTTTGACTAGTTCATATAGATACAACACACTTCAACTGTCAGGGAGTTAAATACATTGTTCTGACCTCCATAACCTAACCTCTAGTATCCACAAGTCAAACTAAGCATCATTAAACTATTACTATAATCACCAATTTCTATAAAGCGTCGTACTAACACATGTCTTTATTCCAAGAACGCGCAGAAAAAACTGCGGTCTAAAATATGCCCGCATTTCGAGAATTCACTACTCAGTGAATCTTGAGTGACTGTACCCAAAGATCTTAGGAATCACTTTCGCCGAATCGATGTTTTTTTGTCTTTTCGCACAACACAAAATGATTAAGACTACCCTACAAAGGTTATTTCCATACTTCGATTAATAATTCCTGATTGTAATTATGAATCTCTGGAGAAAGAAATCAGATCCTATTTTAGTTCCTGTCATGCATCTGACGGTCTTTTCGAATATAAATTAACACATTAAGCGATTATCTAAGTATATACCCGGTTCCAAGCCACTTTTTCAAAGGGTATTCATTTCTAAGGTTACCCAAAATGGTGTACATAAAGCATTGTCCAGACCGTCAATCTAGTACTTCAGAAATGGCCATTGGCCTTACATTAGTAAAAACCGTATGCTACCAATAAAATTTGGAGAAATTCAATTTGAAATAAGATAGCACATTGAAGAACCAAAACTCATTTTGCTACCACTTACAAATTATGTCTTTAGCTTCCTAAAGTCTGTCAGTCTACTATCCGAATCACCGATTCATCGCTATTCTATCAAGCAGCTTATCTGTTAAATAAACCCAAGTCGTTTATATCTCGGACAATATGAAAATGTACTCCCTCTTCCCTTAAATCTAAACACTAATTTTTACAAAATATATAAGATTTGAGGATTGAGTAGTGTTAATAATCTACTTTTAATGGTTGGTTTGCTAACCGGGATCCCGTTTTGCTTACTTTGGTCTTTAAACCTCAGTAATGCCATTAGTCACTACACAATCTATTGAACTTAAAGCAGAGCGCATATATGTACTTAAGAATCTTTTTTTTAAATTTTTAATTAAGGTATGTGGAGCGGATTGGGACCTCGTATCATCATGATTGGAACATTAACAGCCTTACAATGGTTCATTTATGATGGCTTTAAAGTAGTTATGCAGTTGCCGCGTCCACCACCTCCATCCATGCCAGAATCACTGAAACAGAAATTGGAAAACCAAGTGCATTGATGTAGCCTACCAGATGTATAGAACGTTCCATATTTTATCCTAGTTCATTTAAATTAAGTTCTGTCTAATACTTATTTACGTAAAAGACCTAGTTTGTAGATCTAAAACTATCGAATATAATATATTTGAAATAATTTCTTTCATGGAAATCTAGTGTTAATATACAATTAAAAGAAAGACTGCTGAATCTGAGTACCAGTGCGAACACGTCTTCTGTTTGGCTTGGAAGCTATGAGCTTGTGAGTTTCTTTGTGCAATGAAGGAGAGACATCATCGTCTACACAAAAACTATCCATCTGATATTCATCCTGTTCTGGGGTCTACAACAAAGAATAAATGATTTATGCAAAAGTTTTACGCACAATAAAGGCAATTATATATATATATATATATATAAGATTTACAATAAACATCACTGAGAATATTACCATACAATTTACTAATCAGAATTGATCGGGTCATAACGATTAGGTTTGGGAATTTTTGGATGTCGAACACATGTTGCCATTCTCAATGTCGACGGATCTGGTCATCCCTAAAAATTCAAACCGACTGGAAACCAGATTTGGATCGTCCGAATTCAAACACCCAAAGAATCAGAAAAATTCTGGCCCCAAATTTGGTAAAAAGAGATGGAACTTTGTGAACGAGACGAAGCTACAGGTTGTCCATATTTTTCAACACAACCGGTAACTATTCATAAGTTGTGATACGCGGCTGTCGTAAACATCTGTGTTCCCTATTATACACAGGTGTTTTGTATGTTGAACTACAATGCCCATAAGACGTGATTAGTTGTATGACTAATGTGGTAGGGTTCGTTCGGGTTAAAAGCCAAAAGAGAAAACTTTAATTCAGCCTAATTACGCTGCTGTTTATGGGCAACTAGAATCTAGTCATAATTTTTCTCCCGAATTCTGACAGTGGCACTAATAAAGCTGGGCACTATTAGCACTGCCAGAGGTAAGCAAGCATGAAACGCTCTGTAACGGAAAGTCTGAGGATTTCCTTACGGTACCGATTGTTTTAGATACAACATATGCAAGTAACAAGCTTTAGAATTTCGGCCAAGTATATCTATTTGGCGATGTTAACATTAATAGCAACTGCGATTAGCATTCGTGACATCAAGACAGCTTATTGGCTCTTATGAAGCAACCATTGGAGGATGAAACAAATAGATCAAAACTTAGACAAAAACAAGCTGTAGTGAAACAAAAAGTGAAATAATATGGTCTGCAATTCAGAGGGTTGTGCTCGTAATTTGGTTGATACTTTAAGTTTACAACCTGAGGCAGGTAAGCATCTTGAAAAGCAGTACTGTCTAGTCCACAAGGCAGCAATGCGTTTTCGTGACGGCAGATCACCATTATAGCATCACAAGTTATTACTTCTACCAGGGTCTTGAAGTCTATATTGTTGTCAGTAGTTTAAAACAAGTATTTCTCATTAGTATAAAAGAACCTAACATTTAAACCAGTTTCATCGCTATATATAGAACTGTCATGAATACCAAATAAGACTCGGTCTTCTAAGAGTATTATAATTACTGAGGTATTACCGTAGATTCATAGCAATATGACCAAGAAAAGTTTAAAACATATTATTGAAATAACGTGTAGCATATGAACTAACCTGTGAAAATATAAAAGAATTTGACATATCATCACACTTCTCAGATATTTTCGGCAAAATGTTTCTTTTGTTGGTCCATGAGTTTCTGACATTACGTGGAAATATTTGTGGACTCCGAATGCTCTGGAGGTACATTTTCATATCAGATCGGGATGAATCGCACGTAACATTCGTGTATTCGTCATTTATGAAACTGTCATCATATATATCTTGATCTTCAGGATGAAACTGGTCAGATGAATCATTACTCGTACACTCAGCCTGCGATAAAAACAATTTAGATCCAGCGTGTTTGGTATTTTTGTTTCTCATTTTCTTATTCAACCCGTTTAATAATGTAAACTCGCTGAGACTTTCGTGAGATATTCCCGATAATTCTTTGTCACTAGAGAAGTTATTGTTTTTAAATTCATTTCCAGGAACGGCTTCAATGTTACTTAGTTTTATTGGTGACGACGAATATAATAAATCACCTGTATTAAGTACCTCTGTTGTCTGTTCCACTGGGGACCAATCAATTTGTGAGTCAAGAGAACTGTTAGAAGCAGTTGAGAAATAACCGTTTTTTAATCTGTCGAAATCACTAAAAGTGTCCATTTTTTCATTGGTTTGAGTGGGCTTAATAATATCACCCAGTTCTGTCCCTAAAGAGAGTTTTGTTTCAAAAGTAAAAAGGTCGACTGATTTGTGAAAACCGCTCAACTGCGGAAATGATGGACCAGCAAAAACAACACTTTGGGCAGTAGTAGGAAGCTCAAGGGTTGTTAGTTCTTCATCTAATAAAGTTGATGCATCCAGGTGAATAGTTGAATTCTCCAGTAAAGCTAACGCTTCATCAGGATTGACTTGACTAGATGAAGAAATTATAGGTTGCTTGACACAAGCTCGTCCAAAAGGAGTGCTTTGGGCTAAGCTAATCACCGTACTAGGTAGGCTAAAAGCTTGAACAATGTCTTTTACCACATCAAAAGATGGTACCTCAGTACTCTGTGACATCACCAATGCTAGCTGATTATCGTGAAATTTACTATCGATTGTCTGAAGGCCTTTCATAGTTAGAGAGTCTTCCTCAGAAATCGGTAGTTCTGTATTAATTGCTTCAAGTAAACTATTTTCTATACTTAGCTTAAGATTCAACTTTGGGCTTGAAGAAACTGTAGGTGAATTGTGATTTTTACCAATCATGAACTCTAACCACTTATTTAGTGCAGTCTGTAGGGATGCTACTGTAATAGGCTCATGACTATTAGTGCTAATGCTATGGAGTATTTGAGTGAACTGTTTTGTACAATCTGTTAGTTCGCTAAGACGAGGGTCAAAAAATATTTTGTTAGACACTAAACCTTTGACCATTCTTAGATCTTGGATAATATCTAATACCGGATCGGACATCTCTGGAGCTGGCAGAGTATTGGTAGTCAATTCATCAAGATCATGATGACATTGTGAAGGGCTATGCAAATCTAACTGGCTACTTAGCGGCGAAGAACTTATTTTTATTAATTCACTCATTTTTGTATTGATATCAATTTTCCGTATACCGAGAGCGTGGTAAGAAAGTTGTGTCGTACTATGACGATGCATTTCAACTAGTCGAAGGATTGACATTAGGTGTTGCGACGAAGAGGATGAACCGACATTTGATCCTGGAACTAGACTAGATTGCATAGTTTCTCTGAAGACTGCCAATCTTTCTTGAGACGTCAGATTGTAAATGTCTGTGACTGTTGGGTGGTCTGAATTAAAATTATCCACATCATCAGATTTTGATATGTGTTGAATTCGACCTAAAGCAAGAGGATGTAACCTAATATGCAGTCTGTCCAGTTTAACAGACTCAGCATGCAATCTGTAGATGTCTTCATACGAACTCTTCTTCTGAACACCTGGCTGCTTTTGTCCCGATATTTGATTGGTGAAAACTTTCTCGATTCGTAAACATTTGAACTGGAGTTTAGGATGAACACCAATAGGTACCATTCTTGGATTATGTGGATAGAAAGCAAGTTTGCAATAAGCATTTCCCTCAAGCAAAGCTTTATGAACAGAAGAAGTCCTCGCGATACTAACGGCATGATTCCTCTCTTCACGACCTTCTGTTAACAGCACCACAATACGTCCCAGACGCTTGCGCCCAGTTCGACCTTGACGTTGCATTAGTTGAATTGGTGATTTTGAGGCATCAAAGCAAACTATTAGATCAACTTGTCCAACGTCAATACCCTCTTCACCGATACACGTTGACACTAGGGTGTTATAAACACCTGACCGAAAACCATCCATAACACGTATCTGATCACGCTGTGATATCCCACTGTGGGCATTCGACAGTCGCGGCTTTTTCAAGCTAGGTGACTCATATTGATTAGTTAATTGAGGACTTCCATTTACTCTTGTTCCTTGTCCAATAAATGATGCTGGTCTAATTAGTGGTTTCAATGACTTAAGCATATGCATAATTTCTTCAACCGAGTCGCGAAACTGCGTGAAAACTATAGCGCGTGTAGAACTTTGTTCATGCGTGTTTTTTCTGTCTTCAAAGTTGAAATGACCAAGCAAAATATCTCTTAGTTTATCAAGTTTGGGATGACCAGCCAGAAAAGGTGCTTGGGAATGCAGTAGATCCGCATGAATCAACTCTTGCTTCCAGGTACCGTCAGTGCATTCTACATTCATGCCGAATCGCTGAGCTAATTCTGTCCATAAATTATTCATATTGGGAAGTTTGTTAAGCTGACTTCTAGCCAGTGAACTAGCTCGATTTCCAGAATAAACACCCTCTAAGTAACGATATAGGGGACGTAACCCATGTTGAACCAACAGTTCCAAGCCATGAAGCAAACATATAACTAAAGCGAAGTCGCACTGAATTGAACTGTTTTCCGTTGAATTGATACTAGGAAACGTTTGTGAAGACCATTTCTCTCGGGCTTTTATAATTGTGTATTTCGCTAGTTTTTCTGGACGAAGATCACCATAACACTCTGAGAGTGCACCACGTTGGTAAAGTCTATCGAGGGGCACACGAATACACTCAATTAATTGATTACGATACCGTGTCAGTTCCGGACCAAGAGGAACAACTACTGCCTCTAGCTCTCGATGTTGTGTATATGGCCGAACGTCGGCACTAGTATCAGTTCGCAGTTCAAGGTGAGATATAAGTAGGTTTGCAATCAGTGTTTGTACCCCTTCAATATCAGCTGCAGGTGTGGCGGACAAAGCAACAATCCGAAATTGTCGATGAGTGTACGGTGGATTAGTCAAGATTCGCAATACCTATTTTGTGAGAAAAATTATAAGACATGAAATATAAATGTTCAAATTAATCATTTTAGAAAATTGACAAATAATTCCCATTCAAACATTAAAAATTAAAAACAAGAAGTTCAGCGAAGAGATCTATTTTCAACGAATTTATTATCAAGCTGTACTTGAACACCTAGTCAACCGTAATTATCCTATGGATCCACAGTTTGATTTTAAGGTTGTTTATATGATTCGTTCAAATCTACCTAGATTTCTTCGTATCCAACTCTTAAAAATAGCCGAAGCTCTTACCACCCATGAGCCTAAACCAGAACTATGCGTAAAAAAGAAGTACGTCTTATCGTTACCGTGGCCTTAAAAGTATTATTATTACTGCATTCCCCTTTAAGTATGTCTTATATTCTCATTATTTTATTCATGAATACTCATCATACCACCTTATTTATTTCTACACCTCTATGACCCTTAATTATTGTAACAAAAACATTCTATTAAATAGGAAATAATTATTTCATTGAAAAAGCTTGGACCAGATGGCCAGGCGAAACGTTGGATTTACTTCAAATTCTTTCGCTGAGATTTTACAAATATATTATTCCTAATTAATGTCTTACATCAACTCGGCGCCCAAATACTGTGAAACTATTCGCTCTAATGTAGACGAAAGTTCTTATATATTATTCTGTAATCGCATCAAAAACATTTTATTCATTTTAATCATCTTATTATATTCACTAAATCTATTGTTATTACTCGTGTTACATATTCTAGTATTATAATCTTTATATTACATCATCTTGGTTATTCGTGTCCACATTTCCCCACGGAATTCGTACTTTAACAAAAAAAATTTCATATATATACGATTGTACAGCTTGATAATAAATTCGTTGAAAAGAGATCTCTTCGCTGAGCTTCGTATTTTTAACTTTTTAGGAAAAAACTAACACTGAGAAAATATAAATCGGAAATATACGAATATGGAAGAACATTAAATTTGAAAACTCATCTCAATTTCTTTCAGCCTTCGTCTCGAAGAGTGACTTAAAAATCGATAGACAATTTATGATTGATGTTTTTCAGAAACTGTTCGCGATAAACAGTCAGTAGACAGTCGAATTACTTTTGAGTAATGTTATGATCACCAATACAAAGCTGCACATTTATATACACTTAAGTAACCGTTTACTAAAACAAACGCTATCTAAGGCCTAGACATGTCATCAAACTGTCAAGAAATAGTTGCTGAACCGATAATTTTCTTATCAACACTACTACATCATCACTGAAGATATAGAAACACACAAAACCGTAAAATATCTGGTCACAATGGAAATAGTTCAAATCATTTTCATGTCAAAATACTACAATGAGGAATATGACGACAAATGACTATGCTAACAAATCAAACAAATCTTATTTTCACTGTAAGGCGACAGGGTTCCCAAGAATGAACCACACGTGGAACAAATCTTAATGAAAAATAGGAGAGGTAATGGTTGTATAATCAACAAACAAGTGGGCAGAAATAATTATCTAATGAAAGATACAGCCCAGTTAAGAATAAAACCAAGGGAAATCCTTTTAGTTAAGAGGATCCATTTTGTTTTCATGAAGAATGCAATAAAACTGTAACAGGATTGCTGCTGGCCTTTATTTTGATTTGTTTTTGGTTAAGTCTCAAGGCGCTGAGTGCCAAAATGGGTATGACCTCAATTACGAGGTGGTGATGGACCGGTAGATGACAGCTCTCTTATCAACTATCACCTCATGTCATAAACTGGCCGCCACCACTTTTATCACCAGTGCCAGCAATTAATGCATGATGTGAAAACCAATGACACAACATACATATAACTAGCGAAGTCGATGTTTTGAAATAGTGATACCAACTGAATTATTATCAGTGTGACTGGAAGTACATTTCCGGACATCGGGATTACTAACACGGTATTACTATTGTAAGTGAACAATGCGTTGGAGATAATGATGGTTAGACAGAGTCACCAAACGTCCTCCTCTCGAAAAGATCAGATTTTACAAGCATGATTTAAAAATAGTCTTACTGAGGAGTTGCACACTCGACTTCTTATACTCAGACTAACACCACACAGCATCTGTAGGCGTCGATTGCCACTCTGTGGAGTGTGGTCAGGATAGCCTGAGTATTATTGCGAATTGAGACAATACCGTCCGCATACTTCCTTCAGAGACATTCCCAGAATCCATACTGTGATAAAATTGCAGAGTAATTCTGGGATTTGGAAACGCCATTGTTATATCAGGACAATAGAGATAGTTTTATGCTTTCCCCCTGTTTGTGGTATCATGTACATAACCTTCGAACTATTCTACAATGCATCATAAACGGATTTTGGATATATAATCTAAATAAAATAGAATAAACCTGATAATCTAAAAAGGTTAGATTTAATGTGGCTATTCTAAAAATATACTGTTTGTCTTTGGTCTGTTAAACGAACTATTATTTTCTGTAGTAGATTAAAATGACCTTTTATAAACTTTTTCATTCGCACTAGTAATTATTTATTATTCATCAAACAATGAAGTTAATTCGATAAATAAACGGGTACAAATTACATGGAATTAAAATTATATCCTAAGAAACTGTTAATTTTGAGAATATACATGACAAAATACTTTAGAGTTATCCTGTTATTACATGAAAGTCACGTATAATGGAAACAAGAACATCAGGCTTTCAAGTTTTTCGAAGACTTATGTAGCATTTATGATCTCCTCATGAAGATTTCAAATGTTGTACAAATTATGGTAACTAAAATTTACTAAATCCTTCTTCACATTTAATTATTATTAATCATAATTTTTGATATTCAGTATATTGTTCACCAACTGAAATAAAGTAAGATTTATTTCAATCACATTTTGTGTTATCTCCTTATGAACTGTTAATTATCATATGACAAGACCGTCAATTGGAAACACCGACTTATTGACAAGACCGATGACGCATAAACCGGTACAAGCAGCTTAGAGTCAATTTTGAGTTCTTATTGGTCCCCCGAGATGGTTGCTTCTCGCCTAACTCATCCGGTTCAGTTTAGAACACCAATATCAGCCTCGGCTACATGAATTGTGTATTTCAGATATACACAGCTTATATACAAGCATATCATACTATTAAATAGGAAACAACAATTATACAAGATCAGGCCAAAAATGGTTGTGATTGCGAGGTATTGTAACTAATTAATCGGGAATAACTTAAGAATAGTAAATCGAATAATAGTAGTCAATAGGTCAAATGGAAGCTTACAATAAAAAAATGTGAATATACATATAATTGCTTAATACATTAAAACTTTCGTCTAAATTACATCAAATAGTTTCACAGTATTTGGGAGCCGAGTTGATGTGAGACATCGAAATTTTGATGTTTGATTATATCTTTTTGAAAAAGCTTGGACCAGATTGCCAGGCGAAACGTTGGATTTACTTCAAATTCATTCGCTGAGATTTTACAAATCCATTCTTTCTATTTAATTACTTAATAGTTATATAATAAGTATATATATAAATAATAACGGTCCATAAATAGGTTCTAGCCGTTACAATTCACTATTTTCTTGGTCCGGATATAACATTTTGAACGCCATCTTTTAGATACTTCTGGAAATATTAATAAAACACCGTAAAACCAAACTCTTATAAGTTCATGATTTGAATATTCAGTCAAACTAACGGATCGATAAATAAATACCTGTAAAATGTGTGGTTATATTAAATTAGGATGCTTTAGTATATTTAGATGTGAACAGGTCAGTGAATGAAGAATATAACAAAAATTTAAGGAGCATATCTACTTTTTCCAGTTATAACTGAATCAGATTGTTACTTTCTTAAAACAATTATTACAGACCGTGTTGGTAAAAGAAAATGACAGGCATGAATTCGTGTACAATAAAAAGAAGGGACTATATAGAACTTCAAATAAAAAAAGTATTCATTTGAATTACTATACATCCCAATACGGGAATAAAATATCGGAAATGCAAATATATTAAAATAAACATGAGCTAAGAAAGTAGAAGTAAAGGGGGTTAAAACTTCTTAACGACCTTAGCTAGGGTAGCCTACACTTAATTTCACTGATCACAGTATGCGAAATAATTCATAATCAAAAATGACGGACCAAATAACAAACATCTAGTCATCAACGTCTACTACAGTCATCAGACTGGAAGAATATGTAGAACTTACAGTGGAATACGACATTATTTATCAGTTTTACTAACGTTAATTATAATATGACTAATTGGAAACTTTTAATTCAGCAATACCGGAAGAGACAAATAAATTAGACATACTTGGCAGTAGGCATGATTTCCTGTTGCCTTGTGTGCTTCATCAAATATGAGTAAACGTATAGAATTAGCAGGACAAATACCGGTCTGTAAATCATTCATTAACACTTGAGGAGTAAGAAATAATACTTGATATGTGGACCAGATAGTTTTTCTTTTAGTTTGTGCTATCGATCCAGTCACCTCAGCGATATTTTCTTTAAGTGCTCCAATAAATTCCGAACACGAAGTAAGTTGCTGTGTTACAAGAGGTCGAGTTGGCGCCATAAACACAAATCTACCCGTTGGATACCAACGGAAGAAATTATATATAACAACGGCAGCAACAAATGTCTTGCCAAGTCCTGTAGGCAGGCAGACAAGTGTATTTTTATATAGACATTGTTCAATTATACTCAACTGGTATTTGCGTATGCTTGAATCACTTGGATAAATCCACTCAGCCCCAGCATCTACATCGAAACCTTCTAAATGTTCTGAGTCATTAGCTGTAGGATGATATACGACAAGTTTTCTTTCCAAAGCATCGATGATAATCTGTTCATTTTCACAGACTTCGTTTTTGTGTGGATTAGTGTTAGACTCTGGAACATTATTAAATTTGTCAAGAATATTAGCGACGAAAATATCATCAGAATCCGCAGATTTAAGTGTCTTAGAGGATGAGTTTACAGTACTGACATGATTATTACTAATAATCGGATGTGAGGGGATTAAACTTGTCCAAGAACGTAACAAAGAAGTTTGTCTCATAAAAACAATGGATAATCAGAACACAATTGGAAAGTCTAGAAAAGAAAAAATAAGAGGAAATCTAACAAATTTTCATATAAGTTTTATTACGTAACTAGAAACAGAATAGTTTTGTTTGTCCGCTCACTGCATATAATATTCCAAGGTTAACTAAAATTGTAAACGTGTTATGACAAAAAAAATAATTCTAATTAATCAGTTTTGGGGAAATATTTGACTGTTCGACACAATAGTGACACATGAAGTAAGAAGAAACCCAGATTACATTTGGTCTGAAATGATGGACTTCGCATCTATCATTTGAGTAATAAAGAATCAAAGTATAGTTCTTGTAAGTTAAATTTAAGTTTTAGCTGTTCTAAAAAGTCTGTTCTGAAGAAACTTACACTTCAATAAAATATACAAGTGATAAGTATCAATAGTTTAAGGCCAATTTTATCAACTATCTGAACCCGTTAAATGTATTTAGATGCTCAATTTATTTACAGTCAGTGGTATAAAAAATATACTATGCATTCTTGACATTGTTACTGATTTTGAAACAACGAAAGTAACCCTTTGAGTCATTAAAAAACAGAACAAGAACAGTTAGGTGGAGAAAAGTTTCTTTAAAATTTATTTGATACTTGAAGGTTTTGATTAACATATGGTGCCTTTGTCAATGATATAACAACTTTATATCTCACTATAGACCACTACGTGCAAACAACTATAAATACGTCTATACAGTTTTGATAAAGAATGTCATCGAAAATAAGTTTTCTTTGTTGAACTGCGTTTATTTTGTTTACTGTTACTAATGTTAAAAGAGACCCCAATCTAATGATCCTAAATGAAATTTAGATATACGGTTTTACATATTTATATAAATTTTACCTGTAACTGTGATCTTTCAAACAGTCAGGTCCATGTATGTTGTGTGCTGCGATTGATTATTGCTTTGTCTAACATGAACTGAAATGGATTTTAGGTATATCGATAAAATGATATTCATATCTGTCTAACAAAGCTTTTTAATAGTCCAACCTAACTATTTACATGATTTACATGGTTTGCATTGCGATAAAAAATTGTTACTGATTGCTTTATTCAGCTTCCAATTTCTACTACTCATTAGTAAACTCAGTGTTCATATATAGTGTATTTTAAGGAATCAAAACTGTTTGTTACTGTAGTAAAATAAAGGGATTTGAACAAGAAAGCTATTCGAGATCTTGCTACCTGAAAAGATGGAAGGTTTATTTAACAAACGGAAAATGTGGCATTCCACATTTTTAAATAACTAAAAGTGTTATTTGAAGGTTAGATAAATCAAAATTCATCATCTATTATATTAAACCCAGTATACTTCAGTTAACAATTATGTCAAATATGTTCTAGTTTTTCAACGATTAGAAGAATTAGACCGCTTTCAGTTTTGTTCCGCTAATATGAACTTACAACAGCGGTTTACGTCATCGCACCACTTAAGGTTCAAAAAATAAGATTCACAATATTAGAAGAAAAATAGTCATCATGAAAGTAGGATCTGACAAAAGCACATGTTGGTTTAAGTTGCTACACTTAATATCAAAATCAGTTAGTTACAACGTAGGAAAGTAACAAGAGCCATGTCATTAAAAGTCTCAAACCGTTAGTTACGATAATCAAGCGGACCCCAACCAGGTAGTCTAAACCCACCTACATGTCCTAGTCCAACAGTCACCGTTCTCATGGACCGATGCTGTGTCTTGGTTTGGCCGCTCCTGACTCTTCTAACTCACTTCTACTTCAGGCATCATCGCGCGTCAAGGTAGTCGGTGTGTGAGCATAAGTAATACATGTCTCAACCATCCCAATCGATAAAGCTTCACTACCTGGTCAATTATTTTTTCAGACTTACCTAATACTTCACGTCTAATCTCAGGATTAGTAATTCGATGGTCTTAAAATATGCGAGCACTGCTTTGAGTCAGTCAGTCAGCTACAACGTAGGACTAGGCACATATATGCATCGGTCCAAGTTGCCACACATCATTAGCACAACGAGATAAACACTAAATTCATAGAAGTAGTTACTTCAATTGTAGTAATATATAAAAGGAAGTTTGTGTATAAGGACGTAGTACATGAAGAAAGAATTAGTTGGTGGAAAGATGTAAAACAAGTTTAATCTCACGGTTTGAGGGAAGACAAAGAGTGTGTACACCTACACCACTGTGATCGATTCTGAGCCACGTCACATAGAGTCTCCAACCATTTGTTACGATAGTCACGCGGACCCCAACCAAGTAGTCTGCATCTACCAACATGGATCAGACTAAAAGTTAGTGACTTCAAACACTGATGCCACGTTTTGGCTTGACCACCCCTAACTTTCTGCCAACCATCTCCAACACTAATCAGCATTGCGCGTCGTGGTGATCGGTGGTTGGGAATGCGCAATACGTGGCCCAACCATCCCAGTCTATGAAGATTCATGACCTCATCAACTGATTCACCATCATTCCCTAATACTCTGCGTCTAACCTCACTATTATTTACTAACCCGGTGATCCCATAAGATACGAGCAATATTTCTAGGACATCTGTGATCAAATACTAGTAACTTACGAATATCATCTACCCTTAATAGCCATGCATCGCGTTTGTAAAGTAGAGCAGAACGAACTGTTGCACAGTACACTCGTCTCTTAATTGATTGATGGATAACTCGTCTTCGCCGTATGTGATGTAAGTTGTCGACGCGTCAAACTACTTCACTCCCTATCCTTAATTCAGGTGTTGACTCAGGCCAGTTCTGGAGTAACAATTTACATTTATAGGGGGAGAAACGCAGTACAAATATCTTGGCATTGTTACTCAGTTCTAATAGAAGACTATGCATGTTATCAGCGTCTCCACCAAACAGGACTATATCATCTGCGTATTCTAAGTTGATAAGTGGACCTCCTTGTAGGTGATCAATTCCCTATAGTTCAATCTAGAAGTAGGTCTATGATGAAATTAAACAGAAATAGCGATAGTGGACAGCCTTGCCTCACACCACTTGAGGTTGTAAAATCAGATGACGGTTAGCCATAAGCTCTCACTCGAATACTAGTGTCCGAATAGAGAGACTTCACAAGGTTTATGTACATCCAAGACACATCTTTCAATGACGGACACTGCCACACAACCTCTCGATCTACAAAGTCAAATGCTGCTTTTAAGTCAAGAAAAACTATCATTGTTGGACGTTGATAAGCAAGGGCCAACCCCCAAATGCCCTGGTACGACCGAGAGTGGGGAGAGTCCGCTCTCCCTCTCGAAATGCTCTCACATGGCCACGCGAATATATAGCCTCTGCCAGGGAAGTCCTACTCACTACCTTCTCGTGGCGGAGATGTTGTTTACGAAAGTGAGAGGACGAAAAGCGAATGTCCGGCGCTATAACCGGATTGGTGGACACGGAGGGTCCACCTAGGGGAGTTGGAAAACCCTGATTCCAAACCAATGGTGTACATGAGCTCCAGTATCCTGAGGGAACAAATGGCGTACGAATCAACCGTTGATCACCGGCTACCATGGGACTGCATCTCCTCACGATGCTCCACTGCCTTGTGGATCAGATCTTTCGGTCAAAGGCTCCGGGTGTGGCCCCCTAAGAAAACCACCTGCTTCAGTTCGGGCACCTGAGCAGTGTCACAGCCCTCAAGTAAATCGAATGAGATTTGTATGGCGCATATGTATCTGGTGCTTCCTTGTACCAATATTTATGTGTTTAAATAAATAAATAAATGTCTGAGTTCTAAAACCTGACGAGTGGTGAATATGTGGTCGATGCAGCCACGACCAGGTCTGAAGCCAGCCTGATTTTCTCATGTTTGCAGTTTACGAGTCTTAAGTAATTATTGAGGCTGGTGTTTTACATGCTATATTAGTCAAACTAATCCCTCTATGGTTATCACAGGATGACTTTGACTCCTTCCAATATATTGGGACAATCAGTGATTGCGATCAGTCAGATGGGATTACAATCAGTTCCGAGATTTTAGCTAAAATATTAGTCAACTTAATCGTTAAGACTGGTCCACTAAATTTAAAGACATCTGGAGCCAATCTATCTGGCCCAACTGCTCTTCCTCGTTTCAAATTAGCTGTAGCCTTTTGAACTTCAGCTAGATTCGGAGGACCTACTTCAATGTTCCACTCAGACTGTTTGGGAATGGTGGGTAACTGTAGAGTAGCTGAATGCCGGCTGAACTATTCTCTAAAGTGTTCCGCCCATCGTTTTAAACGTCTGGGTTGACAGTGGATATGAGTGTCGTCTTTTTCCGAGATTATCTAACTTACACTTGACTTCTTAGTTCCGGTTTCTTTTATTAGTCTGAAGAGTTGTTTTGTGTCACCTACAGCCACTACCTTTTCCATTTCTTTTGCTTTCGTTGCCCACCACTGCTCACGGTCGTTCCGTAGACTTGTGGTTAACCTAAATCTGATTCGCTTACGCTCTTCATCGTGTTCATAGCCTGATGGGATGAGTTTACGAGAATCCATCAGTGCAATAGACTTAGTAGAAATTCATTGATTTTTTGGAACCCTTCGGTTTAAATTACTAATAGATGTTACTTTTGTTTCCACAACTGTCTGTATATCTTTCCAAGCATCATCTGGGTCAGCCTCGTTTACATAACTGCCTACATATGAACTCAGTTGTTCCTGGAACTTACTTTTGACTTTCTCGTTCCCCAGTTCTATTCTAATGGGTCTTCCTATTTTAGTTTCTCTGCGTCCACTGAAGCTCGTATTAAAGCATGATCCGAGTCTAAACATGTATGCAATCTTCTATCGAGCCTCTCAAACGATGACTGATGGCAATATTGTCTAGTTGAGTCCATCGTTGGTTTGGTGGAGGTGGTCACCATGTTAGACGATGTCTCACTTTATGCTTAAAATTAGTGTTTGCTAAAAACAAACGATTGTCTGAGCATAGTTACAACAGACGATCACCATTGTCTGTTCGTTGAGCCGGAATACCAAAATACCCACCTAAATGTCTTTCTGTTTGGTTTAGGCTACCTAATTGGGCATTAAAGTCACCTGCTACGACTACAATGTTTGAGCGTTTAGCTTTTTGAAGAAGTTCAGAGAGCTTTATGTAAAAGTCATCTTTCACTTCACCCGGGATGCAGTCAGTGGGAGCGTAGGCAGAAACGAAGAAAAAGCAACGACGTGTGTCCCTATCCTTCTGAGTTCTTACGAAACCATTTAGCCGGTCAGCACACAGGCGACTGTTAACGGGGGTTCATTCTAATAGCGCCTGTTCTGCTCTCGTACTAAGTGCTATATCTACACCTTCAAGTCCACGAGAACTAGCCATCGGATCACCTGATACACGGAGGGTGTATTTTGTTGGCTGTCATTTTTTGGCGAGGTGAGGTCAAGTGAATGACCAAGCTGGGATCCTGTATGCGTGTTTCGGAGACACAGCATACATCAATGGTACGAGATTCTAGGGTTTTAGCTAAGGAGGCCTGTTGACCGATTTGGCATAGGGTACGTACGTTGAAGGCTCCAATGTGTAGTTTGGAGCGAGGTTTAAGTAGACCTGGGACAGCGTTTCGCGCACTAGAATCGTTGGCCATGGTGACACTTGAGGAGGAAACCGAGAGAGGAAGTTTAGTGTTGAAAGTCAAGGTAGAGGGAATAGTAGGAATTGAAGAAGATTGATTATGAATACAGTGGTCTTGAGTGCTGTTAGAGGTATGAGGGCAGTTATCACTTCCCGGTTGCCCACACCGTGGAAGGATTCTTCTAGAGGTACCTGAAAAGGAAATTGGGTTAGGAGTGGTCTTAATCACCTGAGAGCGTGACCGCAGTGCCCAAGGGACAACTGCTTGAGGTCGGTCACACACGACCTTTTTGTGGGTAATTTTTGTGTTAGCTCAGTACTTGTTGTGACCTTACCGCCGGAGACGGATGAATTCTGGTAAACTACGAATATCGTGAGTTTGGGCACAGCGACGATAATTCAATTGGTGTCACCATCTTAAAACATAGACGTCGGTGGCTTGGACATGTTCTGAGAATATCATCCCAGAGAATTCCACGTCGCGCATTATTTTCCGACGCTGGGACTGGTAGGAAAAAGCGGAGATGTGGTCACTGTATGACATGGTGTTGACGTAAACAATGGTTGGAGACTCTGTGTGACATGGCTCAAAATCGATCACAATGGCGTAGGTGTATACACTTTCTGTCTTCCCCTAAACCTTGAGATTAAAATTGTTTCATATCTTTCTTTCTTCCTATACTATATCCTTATATACATTTGTTTTATATATTACCACCTCTAAATTAACTACTTCTATGAATCCGGTGTTCATCTTGTTGTGCTAACGAGGTATGGCAACTTGGACCGATGCATATATGTGCCTGGCCCTACGTTGTAGCTGACTGATTGACTGGTGTCGTGGTATGAAAGAAAGCTGTACAGGACTGGCTTCTGATGGACCTTTACAACTACCCAGTTGGGGTCCTAGAGATGGTGTAACACAGTGGGTAAGACGTTATCAGATATGGCTCAGAATAGAAACCAGTTGCAATCCTGTTGTAACTTTACTTTACCTTCTTCATAAAAAATGGACGTAACTTAACTGCGAGAATTCTTTCTGGTTTTACCTTTTCTGACTGAAATGCTTCTCCTATTATTATGATTTCACTATCATACACCAGTTTCCGTTCGCTATTGTTCCCTTTTTTCTTACACGCACTTTACATTCTTTATCTCTTCACATTTTCGTTGTTACTGTGTAGCGCATATGTACCAATATATATGTTCAAATAAACAAATAAAATAAACGAATATCCTATATTTCTAAAGATCGTGTTTTACAGCCACAAAATAGGTCGGAGAGTACTATGCAGTAAAATTTTCTTTTAGTTGACAAACGGATCCCTCACCTACTCCACAAGTAACATAAGTTGGTAGATGCCAACCGACTTTACTGAGCTCAAGCCGGGATTTCGTCAGACACCAACCTAAAAGGATTAGTAAGACTTCGAAGAGAAGTGAATGGATCGATACACTCAACTACTTCACTAGGTATTCTTGGTTTAAGCGTTGACAAATACCAGGCCTGAGGCAACATTACACTGAGAAGGGAACAAATACACCCAGAACATATGGTAATTCTTGCTTAGGGTGGTCGGCAGATTGTATTTCTTTTAACGTCTTCACAAAACAGAGCTGCATTATATGGGTGTTTTAGGTAAAAAAAAAAGAATCTCCTGGTCAGTTTGTTTCTGGTAAGTCAGACGATGAATGTTATCTCCAAAAGAATGTTTATGACAAAGTCAAATAAAAACGAGGAGAGCGGAGAAGGCGAGCAGTCGTATGACGAAGAACAAGAAAAACTAGATGTATTCCTCTCCACATGAAATGACTTAATCGCGGTTATTACGTTGCTTGACAATACCTTCACATCTAAAGTGCCATTATTTTTCCTTTTTTCAAAACACAGAATCTACGATGACACTCAAAAAAGTCCACAAATTCAGAACCAACTAATTGTCAGTCGAATATCGCCTACCGATGCCTTAGTGACCTTGAGAATGTGGACGTACTTACTGTGGCTAAGTGAGGGGTTTTGAATAAGTTTGAAGCTTAAGGATTGTGATTTACAGTTGATGGTTGTGGTCAGGATTTGGATTTATGGTTTTCATCAAGAACAGACATCAGCTAAAATTCTATAACGCTATTTAGACGAGTCGAAGAGTGGATTTCGCGAAAACATCCAAGACTTACTATCTTAAATCTGATTAGTTCGTTCATAGATCAGAGTCTCGCCGCAATTTCTTATCTTAACGTGGTGAAAGTTCCATCCATTGACGCATTTAAAAGAAAATCAAATGAAGTTACACAAATCCAACAAAGATCTTCTCATCACAATAATGGTATAAGTATGATATTTACCCGGTGTTTGAGACATTATTCAGGCAGGTGAACGTCAAAGTAACTCTGAAATTAATGACCCTGAGACCAGATGACGCGCTGACAAAATTTTTCTATAAATCTGATTTATTAAAATAATGTAGTGATAACTAATTTTGGCCTGAAGCAAGCATACAACTATGGCTTACTGCCAATCAAGTAATTTGTCCTGATTTTTTAAGTTTATATATAGCTAGTTTATATACAGAGCTTTATCGACCTCATGAAACCATTCTGTGCACTACGAATAATTTATACACTAGCACAGTCAGTTTCAGTTTGGAAAAGACAGGAGGCTTGTTGACCTATGTTAGTCCTGGAGATGATGGTCTCTCAGTTTATCCAACTTTCTTTTGAAAGAGTCGACCGATGCAGCCTCAACCAAGTACTGAGGTAATGAATTCCTGGTCCGGATATGGTTCATTCCGCTGTTTTGAGGGAGGCAACTTCAATCGTGACGACACCACCTAGCGTGATGTTCGCACACTCGCTAAGCAAAGACAAACTACAGGGAATATGGAAGCTGGCCCACATCACACCAATTTTCAAAGGAGTGTAGTGGATGTCGAGTCGTGGGCGGACTATGAACACCACTACTATTCGATTACGCGTACAAATATGACTTGGTTCCCTTGATAGCCCGTAAACCAGAAGGCTTTACTAGTCCAGATCAAGTATATTTATTGGCGATCTCGTGGTATCGAAATAATACCGAGACGTGCCAAAGAGTACAAGCGAACAAGCAGTGCGTGAGCAAGCTCGAACCAAACCAGGCGGTATATGGAACAAGAAGTGAAACGGATACAGTTAAACAAATACAGTAAAACAATCTCTGGTACAATTGGTTACAATAATAATAATTGTTTCTATTATTCCAATCGTGTTCTTATCGAGACTGGCCGGTCACTACAGGAGCCCCCCGCTAGAAAGGATTTACACTTTCGATACGTAGCGGTTTCATTCGTGGGACTGATCGCGAAACGTGCAATTGTAGGACGAAAACGTTGGCAGAACAGGGAGTGATCGTTGATCCTCGAGTTGCCACCAAAAGTCTTTGACGTAGAACGGTACCAGAAGGAACGTGCTGTATTGATTGCTTGGATTAGCATGCTACACCAGAGTGGTTTGTATCCAGAATCTGAAGGTTGCGTTCGTAGAGGTCCGGACCAGAAACGCTGCAGACGTAGGACGAAACCAGATTGAGCCAAGGAACCAGATGCGACCAGGATAACCATGTTCGGGACCAAATGTATATCATACGTATTTGGAGCCAGAGAGATCGGTTGAGTGCGTTGACTAGAGCGTGGGTGATCAGGCCAGCTTTCGCGAAAGTTGACTGAAGTCGACGATACCGTAACAGCGATGGTCGGAGGCGTAGGCTCGGGGTAAACAAAAAAATGATAGAAAAAGAGAAAAGTGTAGCTTTCTTGTAGTATAGGGGCAGATTCCTATACTGTATCCGTAGTTGGTTATGAGGTTAGTCGAGAAAGCGTATGGGTAAGCGTACTCGGCGACCAGAACGTGAGACGGTAGTCTCGTTCGAACCTCGTGAGCCTGCAATCTCATCCGCAGTCAAGGGCGGTGTGGTCTGTAGGTCTGGACGTGAGACGGAAGTCTCGTCCGTAGACGGGGCAGATGACACGTGCTGTTGACTGGGACGTGAGAATGAGGTCTCAGGTGCATCTAGCGTGGGATCCGAAGTAGATGTAGAAATCCCGCTAGAAGCTCTGATGGGTCTAACATTGGGTCTCGGCTTATCAGGTATAACACTGTCATCGACGTGTGCTGGCTTGAGACGATCAATGCTGACTGTTTCGATGCGGCCACGTCGATCAACCTTGAAGGTCTTTTCGTGACGGGAAATCACGTGAAAAGTTCCTTCGTAAGGCTGTTGTAGAGGTTTGCGTACCGAATCTACTCGTATGAAAACATGTGAACAGGTAGATAACTCTCGAGGGAGAGCGACCTGTCGATGTTGTATACGAGTTGACACCGGAGTCAGTGTTCGCATGAATGCAGACAGTCGTTGGACGTAGTCTGATTCGCCGAACTTAGTGCTGCTCCGTGGTGTGAAAAATTCCCCAGGCAGACGCAATGTCGTGCCGTAAACAAGTTCAGCGGCGGAACATTGAATATCTGCCTTTAGACTCGTTCTGATTCCCAGGAGGACGAACGGCAGGGTTTCGTACCAATTGTTGTTTTCGTGTGCTCGAAGAGCACTTTTAAGTTGGCGATGAAACCGTTCAACTAAACCGTTTGATGCTGGATGGTAGGCGGTAGTGCGTATGCGTTCCGTACCAAGCAGCCGTGTTAGTGAGGAGAATAATGCGGACTCAAATTGTTGTCCTCGGTCAGTCGTGACAGTCGAGGGACAACCGTACAGAGCTATCCATCGTTCTACGAAGCGGTGAGCAACTGTCTCCGCCGTAATAGACGTGATGGGAATAGCTTCGGGCCATCTTGTGAAACGATCAATGCATGTGAGTATGTGATCATACCCGTGCGATGGTGGTAATGGTCCTACAATGTCTATGTGAACGTGATCGAAGCGAGCATCAGGCGTAGCAAAAGTGCCAATAGGGGCAGCTACGTGCCTGTGCACTTTTGATCGTTGACATTGTAAGCATTGCTTTACCCACATACGGACATCTTTATTCATGGACGGCCAGACGTATCGTGCAGCGATGAGGCGTAAAGTGGCTGCGATACCAGGATGAGATAAACCATGAAGGGCATCAAAGACGAGACGGCGATAAGCGGAGGGTACGATGGGTCGAGGGAGGCCCGTGAAAGTATCGCATAGGATAGTACCAGAGCTAGTAGCTAGGGGTACTTCCCGGCATTGAAGGGACGTAGACTGTTGTGCTTCCGTGCATGAAGTATCGTTTGCTTGGGCGGCGGCCATAGCAGGTAGATCGAGCACTGGCAAAGTAACTGCATTCAGTTGGATACGTGATAAAGCATCAGCAACAAGGTTCGACTCGCCTTTGACGTGACGAAGGTCTGTCGTGAACTGGGAGATATAGTCCAAATGTCTGCACTCTCGTGGTGAGTAGCGGTCAGACTTGGTATGCAGAGCATACGTCAAGGGCTTATGGTCGGTGAATAAGATGAAATTACGACCTTCTACAGCGTGCCGGAAATGTTTGATGTCGCAGTAGGCTGCTAGCAGTTCGCGACCAAAAGCGCTTTATCTCGTCTCCGTGGGAGTGAGGCGTCGTGAGAAAAATTCGAGGGGCTGCCAACTACCGGAGATATTCTGTTGCATAACGGCTCCTATGGCGAAATCCGATGCATCAACCGCTATACTAAGCGTGGCTGATGGGTCAGGATGCACGAGAAGTGTGGCTTGAGCTAGGGCCGTTTTGATATCTGAAAATGCAGTACGTGCGGCGTCGTTCCATTCCAGTTTGCGTGGATTACCGCGAAGTAAATCAGTTAACGGTCGTAACTGTTCTGCCGCGTGCGAAATGAAGCGTCGGTAGAAGTTGACCAAACCGAGAAATGCCTTCAGTTCCTTGAGTGTGGACGGTACAGTGTACTCCATTATAGTACGTACTTTATCCTCACAAGGTAGAATACCCTCATGCTTAATAACATGACCTAAGAATTTTATTTCCTTCTTCCCGAGTTCACACTTGTCGGGGTTGACTATTATTCCATTATCCGAAAGGCGCTGGAATAGTAGCGTCAGGTGTTGATAATGTTCATCTACGTTTGATGATGCGATTAGCAGGTCATCAATATAGACGTGAACAAAATCTAGGTCTCGTACAATGCTATCGATAAACCTTTGGAAAGTTTGAGCAGCATTCCGTAATCCAAATGGAATTCGTAGGAACTCAAATAAACCGAAAGGAGTCGTGATGGCAGTTTTCTCTATATCTTCAAGAGCGACTGGGATCTGATGATATGCTCGTATCAGATCGATCTTGGAAAAAATTGTCGTGCCCTTTAGTGATGACGTGATGTCATGTATGTGGGGGATGGGATAGCTATCGAAACGTGTAGCTGTGTTTAACGCTCGGTAGTCACCGCATGGTCTCCAACTAACCCCATCCTTTTTTCGAACCATGTGGAGAGGTGAGGCCCAAGGACTGTGAGAAGGACGAATAATACCAGTAGCTAGTAAATTGTCGAACTCACGTTTAGCGAAAGCTAATTTGTCCGGTGCCAGTCGGCGAGGTCTTGCCGTGACTGATTGGTCCGCGGGTGACTATGTGGTGTACCACACGATTGGTCACCAATGGAGTCTCCTCGAAAGGTTTAGTTAATTTGGGGAATTTCTGAAACAAAACGTGGAATAAATCGTCACGCGAATGAAATACACCTGTGATTCGGCACGCGTTTGTGTGGGCTTTAGAGCCCATAAAGTTGCTGTTCGACGAAATATCAATTAGCTGCAGCCTACGTGAATCGACTAGCAATTCATAGTGCTGCAGGAAATCGATACCGAGTATAGCTGTGGGAACATCGGCAATGATGAACGTCCACAGATATTGTCGTCGGTTGCTCAGGTTGACCGTAAGTTGTCGTGTACCATAGGTGGGAATGACTGAGCCATTCGCAGCGCGTAGTCGAAGCATAGTGGCTTGAGACTTACTGTTACCGATAGGTACGACAGAAACTTGGGCACCCGTATCCACAAGGTACCTGGCGTTGGTGCAATAATCGTGCACGTAAAATAAACGGCCAACCTGAGGTGAAGTGCCGGCGAGTACGGCCGCATTTACTCGCCGGCTGAGAAGTTTCCCGCCTTGTATGAGCAGGGAGCACGACAATGACGGGCACCGGCTCCGAAAGCACGGTGGAACCAGCACCTGGGTCGGGGGACGTAGGGGGCTGGCACATTTGCGCGGTCTCGGAAACTGAGACGAATATGGATACATCTGTCCCTATCCCCATGAGCCGGAGGTCGTCTAGCATCGAGATCAACGTTAGAACGGGAAAAACTAGCAACAAAATGGTCGCCTTTGGTGTTAACTCGTGCCAGAATCTTATCTGCTATGGGGGCCACCTTGTTGAGCGGGGTGTCCTCGAGCACAGCCGTAAGG